AACAGTGCCAACGCGGCAACAGAATACATGATAAAGCGGGCTGTTAAAACCACTGATGAGAGCGCCGCGATCAATGCAAACCACCTGAATTGTAAGTTCTCGGCTCCTTCGATTCAATCCGTGGTTAAAGTTCCTTATAATTGTTACTACGATGTTTACCATAAAAAATGAAGTATGTTTTCTTAAAATTTGTAGCCAGTACGCGAAGCGCAAAATAAACATTCCAGTTCGGGTTTGTTCGTCTCAAATCTCGTCTGTTCGGCACTTGCCTCACCCGTCACTACTGCGTCGTCCGTTTCGCCAGTCAACTAACACTCCTACCAACCCCATAAGGTGAAATTGCTCCTTACTTCGGTCCCGCCGAAAATTCAAATCTAATCGGAAAGAAGTAATCGGTAATGTTGAAATTTGCCTCGCGTAAAAGCTATTGTTTCACGTTGATCGTTTTTGTCCTTAAAGGCAAGAAAAGATCAAAAATAACAATACAAAACAATATCTATTCTTCTCGAATTCAGGTCGCTTTTCTTGATACGACCATCCCTGTAATCGACGATGCCTTCAGGGCCTCTGTCGAGAAAGTGTTAAGGATAAGTGTGTTTTTGAAATATTTTTTGAAATCATTGAGATCAGCAATTGCACTTAACGTCTCCTTTTATTCAGGTTAAAATTAATACAACATTACTAAAAGCCTGATCACTGTGCTACGCAACGCGCTGGGATTAAGCCTAAGCAGTTACGAGCAGTTACGTCCTAGTGTGACGTGATATGAATAACCGAGGCTATGCTTTTAATCTATAGCCTGGAAAAACCGATAACACAGGAAACAAAACACCCGTCCGATTTTAAAGCAGTCATAGTTGAACGATTGCTGTTGTTTCTTAGTACCAAACCACAGCACGTTGTGGACAAGCGAGCTGAAACTGACCTGTTTGATAACAGCCTGTTTGATAACTCAGTAAAACAACAATTACAATTGGCATTAAATTAATGGCACAAAAAAGGTAATGTAACTATTCTGAACCACAGCTCTGATACATGGGTTATCAACAATTAAAAATCATACTGCACTCACGTCGTAGTACACGAATAATGTGCGCTCGATTTATTGACTCACTAAATAATCTATGGCGGCTTCCCACTAGTGCATAATTGTTTGGAAACGCCTACCTTTAATGCGTTTTGTCTTTTCGTCCACACTAAAACGATAAAAAAAGCCGATGTTTTTATAAAACGGCCTCAAAGGTGGAGACTTTTCAAAATAAAACACGCGCTTAATAAACACGCGCTAATTATTATTATAAATGCCTTAGTTTTTAGTAAATTATTCTATTGCTCTTCTGTTTGGAGCAATACTACTCAAACTAATCTGGACAAGCTCCAAGCAGTACAGAATTTCGCTTGTCGTATTTTGAGCGGCGCTAAAAAATTCGATCACATAACTCCTTTGCTAAAAGACTTGCGCTGGCTACCAATCAGGCAACAACTTTATTTTCGTTTTGCTGTTCTGGTTTTTAAGTGCATGACGAGTTGTGCTCCGGAGTATTTGACATCAAAGCTCGTTGGAAGATCCGCCGTCTCGACAAGGAATACGAGAAATTCTCAACTTTTGAACATACCACTCTTCCGCACTGCCAGCGGCCAAAGGACCTTTCAATATAGAGCAACCTCTCTCTGGAATGAGTTGCAGCCTGCGCTCAAACTTAGCCCATCCGTGACGGAATTCAAGTGTTTACTCAGGCAAAAGCTTCTTAATGACTGCTTTATTTAATTAATTTAATTAATTTTATTGACCTTTGTCTTCTTTTATCATTGTTATATTCTTATTGTCATGTACTTGGTTTATAATTTTGTAATGTAAAATTGACTCTGAAAAGCCCCGTGGGGACGAGCCAATAAAGTATGTATGTATGTATGTAGGTCAACGGCTGTATAAAGAGCAAAAACGGAGGTTTACGAATGCGCTGACTTCACAGCTCAACACGCCCTTTAGAATACCCTGCGAGCGAACACATTTGTCTCCAGATAAATGTTTTGCCTAGTTTAGTATTGACTGTAGAAAACGAAACTTAAACGCAAGTATGGACATCCATAGTTTCGTTGCCGTTTTCGTGATCGCCAAAACCGGAGGCGTTTTGATTTATAATACATTAGTGTGGACATGGCCTTAAAAGTTATTCCGCGTGTTCAGTGCATATTTAACGCTGTTGGTTAGAATTTTAAAAGAAAAAACTTGTTTTTGGATACCCTCCATCCTTAGTTTGGACTGACTATCTTAGCTTATCTTATGCTTTCCAATAAAACGTTACAAATACAAACATTAATCTAAAGTCAAAAATTGAACAAACTGACTGAACAAAACCCGAAAGTTGGACTAACTATAAAGTGACAGATGTCAAAGTGAAAAACGACGGATCGGATCGAAACTCACCATTCGAACTTAGAGTCTTCTAGAACAATAGTATTTTGGTGTTATTGACTGACGACCAATGACATCATGACTTTGATGACAAATCAGGGCCAGAGTTTGACAATATACAATTCACTTTGATGCTCAGTCGCTGTCATCAGTAGTCCTTTTCACGACTACACTCTCTTAATCATCTACTGATGATTATGATCGACGACATGACTCTTGTATCGGGGTCAAACGATTATTGACGATACATAACAAAATGTTAACAAAAGCATCGGCCCATGTGAGGGAATCCGGATTCTGGAATTGGAGAAATTTTTGCTTGTGGAATCGGGAATCCTGGGCATTGGAATCCGGAATACAGCTCAAGGAATCCGGAATCCTACTAAGGATTGGAATCCAATCCAAGGTTCCTCTAGAAAAGATTGGAATCAAGTGCCTGGAATCAGGAATCCATGGCGTGGAATCCAGAATCCAAGACTGTCTTGGATTCCCTAACATGAGACGAAAAGCAGCACATGTCAAAAACTGCCGTTACGTATTTATTAAATGCTGCTTCGTTCCATTAGTCTTAAGTTGTTGGGGTTACACTAAACCTTTTTTCTTTAGTTAAAAACAAACGGGTTTTACGGTCTCATTTTCTACTGTTATTAAATATTAATTAAAATAGGCCATTTACATTATCTGGTGATTTTACTACTTGAACCAGAATCCTTTTTGTTTGTTTTCAGTTTCATAGTTAATCTTGGTAATCCTAGCAAGGTTTAAACAACAAAAGCCCTAATTTGCCATCAGGGCAAAACCCTGAAGGATTCTAGCAGTAGTAGTAAAATGACGTTATTGTGAAAATGGCCTATAGATGGTAAAATTCCCTCTGGCAAAAAATTTGTACTTGTAATCCCACAGTCTCTTAAACGGGAAGCCTTTTTTGTATGTATAAACACAGACACTCTTCAGAAGTTTTTTGACATCACATATCAGCGTTCTCTGTAACTGAAGAAAATAACATATACTGCATTAATACACTTCCGAAAAATAACGCGTTCAATTAGAGCACGACGATGTCAAGAGGACGCGATTTGAAACTTGACAGCAAAATAAGGCAAAATTTGAACCCTTATAGATTAACCGAGAGGATTTTCATGATGTCTTTTTCATGTATTAAGTCATCCAACTGATAAATCATTTTATTTCCCATTCTCGATAAAATAAACAAAGTAAAATCAAACTTTGACTGGAGCTCAGAGCAAAACCTTTAGCGTCCATATAGCTGTCCGAAGATGTATAAGCAATCTCTTTTATTATTAAAAACGGCTGACCTCCGAATCTACCAACCAAAAAGCGAAGACGTTAATCATTAATTATCATCTTCTATGAACATCGTCGCTAAATAGGTTGATAAGTATCTGATCCGGTCACTTTGCATGTCATTCGGCATTTTCACTGCCCCGAAAATCCAATCCAACCTTTCAAATGCAGCGTTTAAGTCCTGGGCTCATATATCTTCGCAAGAGGGAACTTATAAACGGAGGGGCTCATATGCGAAGGGGATTATCACCGGAATAGAAAAAGCGCCTCGAAATAAGTTATAGCAGTGTTGATCAAAGTACGTTTTGCATTTGCTGGTTTTAATTAGTAATGGTAACAGGACTGAGTGGCGTCCAATTCGGTCTGTAATCATACGAGTGATTAACAAAATCGGACGACCGCGTAGCGGGAGTCCGATTTGTTTAATCACGAGTATGATTACACACCGAATTGGACGACACGAAGTTCTGTTACCAATTAATCACAACTTTAACAAAATTTGTGATAAAATAGGCTATTTTTTAAATCATGAATAATGTTTAAATCAAAACACAAGAAATTCGAAATTTTGCTTTGCTAGCAGTGAAAAAAAAAAAGCCATTTAAGCGCGCGTGTGATGGCGCGTACTGTCCAATTACTTAGGCATGACGCGTACTGTCCTATTAAACTGTCCAATTAAGGCTGAAATCAGGGCAGTTGATAGCCAATCAGATTTGACAATTTTGTTATAGTTATGATTAAGCTTCAAAACGCCATAATAAATCGCATAAATCGAATCAATTTCAATACATTTTGGGGGGGCTTATAATCAGATGTATTGTTTTGTTTACAGGCAGATGTTCCTATAACTCGGGGTCGTTGGGGGAGGGAGAGTTATAAGTGGCAGTTTACGGTTTTTTCATTGAGGCTCCCTATTTGTCCAAAAAAACTTTCACTGTTATTCAGTTTTCTATGTAATGGGCATTTGTGAAATATTGGAGCTATATTCTCTCGCTGTTGTCTTGAATTTTCCATCTTTGACTAAATAATGGAATGTATCATAATCATATCCCTTATAATAACAATAACATAGGCCCGAAATGCAAAGTGGGTGGTCAGATTCTTAAACAACATTGAAGTGTGTGTTCAATGTTTTACTGTTTTAATTGTTAACAGTTTGGAACGAATGGAATCGTATTGAGTGAATCCATGGCAATCGAACAGTAGCCACCCATTACATTCTTATTTTTCAAGATTTGTACTTGTTTTCCCAGTTACAAACGAATCTGCCAATTATCTTTTTTTTTTAATAGAAGCTTTTTGATTCTTAGTTTTACAACTTATTTTTTGGGATTCGAGACAATGAAAATCAAAAATTTACAAAAAAAAAAACTTCTTCTACTTACGACTTTCGCGGTTACTTTCATCAAATTCAATCGTAACGTCATCGCCAATCAGTACAAATGGAGCCCAGTACTTTGGAGCAGAATACTTGTCCGAGTCCCGGAGACATTTCATGGCCCTCTGAAGAGCAGAACTAGCACTTTCTCCACCCCTCAGGTGTTGGTAAAAACTTTTCATAAACTCCAGGGTTGCTTCGTCATCAATTGCCCAGAGTGTCGCCACCACGGAACGAGCACCAGCAAACAAGAAAGCGCGAGCAATACCGACCACACCCTCAGACGAGACCTCTCCTTGACCACTATGACAGCAACTAAGGACAACCAGCCTGGCTCTCAGTTTAACAGCTTGTATATCAGACATTCTCAAAAAATACTCTTCCTCAGAAGTCTTGGATTCCCCGCAGGGGTCTGGAGCCAAAGCAATTTCACCAGTTTCTTTACTTCCGTGTGCTGCAATGTGAACCAAAGCAACTGAATCTATTCTGCGAAGAACTTCTTGTTTGGTCGCTGCTTCTCCCGTCAGTGGTTGGCACCTAAGAATTTCTCCAATCATCTCTACTTCCTTTTTTGCGTATTCCAGCTGATCATAAATAGGATAACCCCCTCTATTTGTAACTTTCTTCAGACATGGATCTCCAACAAGCAGGGCGCCACTTTTACAGTGGTATTCATTTGGAGAATCTATGATGAACTTCAGACTTGTCAGAGAGGGAACTGTGCGGATCCTTAAAGATTCACTTAGCGCGGCCCAAGGAGCTAAGGACAAAGCGCCATCAGGGACTACAATGAGTTCATCACCATCAAGCAAGTCTTCAATGGGTCCAATGACTGCATCATACAGTGGCTTAAAACAGTCGATAGTCTCGTGCGACAGCTCCGATGTTTGATCATCCTTTTCAGTACTGGAAGTTTGGTTATCCTTTCGCTCATCCAATGACCGATTCTCGCACCGAACATCGACGCCAGCCCTAATGTTTTTCAAAGTAGTTTTTAAAAGTACAGCAAAATAATCTTCGTGCGCACCTTCAACTTTAAGTTCTGCTTGCGTAAAAATAGCATTTCTTCCCTTCCTCAAGACCCACATATTGATTGTTCCTTCTTGAACAGCCAGAAAAACTGTCGAAACAGATATCTTCTTTAAAATGATTGTGAGTTCTTCTTCAGATTCATTTGACTTCAGGAGCGAAAGGGTTGTTAAGCCATACTTTATTTTCAACGCATCTACTAAGGCCTGTGCTCGTCCCTTCTCGGCAGCGTATAAAGCCTCATCCGTCAATTGAAGCTCTAGTAGAACCTTCCACAAACAAGTGTAGGCACCTTTACGAAGATTACGAAAACTTATTTTCAGTACATCTTCCGAAATGTAACTGGCCCTAATAGCATCAAGGATTTCTACGCTGGTGATAAGATAAAATAAAGCTTCATTCCAACAACCTAACCCTATCAGACAACCAGCCAGCCTAAAATATGCCTCTCCTTCCAAAACCTTGTTACCGACTTCCTCAGCAATGCTCAGAAATTGCCTTAAGTAATCTATTGCTTGATGAAACTCGTAGAGGGACAAATAAGACGTGCCGAGGTTGCGATAGGCAATTCCTTCTTCTTCTCTTTCGCGGATTTCCTTCGCAATGCTCAGATGTTTCTTTTGATACACTATTGCTTGTT